TGACCCAGCTGCATGAGAGGCACTTTCCTCATGCCATTCCTGGTACCCCCAACCCAAAAGTCACCCCAAAAAAGATGTGTCTGTAGTAGACATGGAAATAGACGTGACACATATTTTTTTGTCCCTCCTGTCCTGGCCAACCTAGTCTCTGGTTCATCTCTGGAATTTACCCCCTGCTCTAAGACTTTTGGAGGAGGGCCTTGGAGGCAGTGGTTGGATCTGAGGAGTGGCTGGCTGCACTCTTGAGGGACCTCAGCCAATCCCCAACAGAAGACTTGGCAAGGGGCTGGACTCCCTTAAAAAGTGTTGGAGCGTGCTCAGTAGCAGAAGTAGTCAGGTGGAAGGAGAGGAGTGTGGTGGGAGAGGTGTAGAGAGTTGGAGGAAGATGTGAGGCTTGAGGAGGAAAGCTGCCAGGAGGCCTAGTGGGATGGGGCCTGCCTGCGAGCCTGGAGCTGGAAAGGAGGAAAACTTAGGACTCACTGGCCCCCTGAGAGAGGACTACCTGTATGGCAGGGAAGGAGCAGCCCAGCTGATAGGCTTGGTAGCAGCAGCCATTCCACAAGCAGTAAAGGAGAGGATCTGAGTGAGTACAACTGCAACCCCTGGGCGAAGAGGAGAAGGAGCACTCTGATTGGCAAACCAGATTAGCCCCCTACTAGTGACTGTTCACCCATTTAAAGGGACTGGAATCAAATCCCCTGCTCAGGATAATCTCCAGATTGCTTGGTAAAGAGGAGAATTTCATCTAGCTTCTGGCGTGGTACATCAAGGAGATGCTGGCTAGCTCTCCAACAGAGACTGTGTTGCAGAAGAGAAGCTTGTGTATAGTTCCAGGAAGTTTGTCTTCAGTTATCGGTTCTCTTGGGCACCCCCTTACCTTATCTCAGTTCTAAATCCCCTCCATAAACAACAAAACAAAAGCTCAAGGACTGATTTGTGACTCTGAATGCCAGCTTGTGTGGATAATGCATATTGCCTGGCTGTGCAGGACTATAGGGGGACCAAATTCATTGCAACCCCCCAGGGGGTAGTGCTACATAACAAATTCATTCAAGACCATGTTACAAAAATAAATACACCCCAATGAAAGTCTTAGGCTGGCCATACATTATACAATTATCTGCAGATTTTTGGTTTAGATTTACCAAAAACCATATAAATAGGAGACAAACCTAAACAACATTTTCAGTTGATCCAAGGCAATTCCATAATGAAGGTAAATCTAAAGAAATTGGGCAGAAAAACTACAGATAATTGTATAATGTATGGCCAGCCTTAGGAGCAAAGCAAAATTTTAGACAACAAATTCCTAATTATTACAGGGTGTGTTTAATTATTCATTAAACAGGTGTGCAGCAGATAGTCGATTATAAAAGGGCAGGGCTTGGACGTGACATCAGATGGGCATTGGGAGTGCTCGTGGTATAGTATGACTGCTGGAGCGAGGTCTTGATACTGTATATGTTTATGCTGTTAACACAAGTGTCGGTGGCGACACTGCATAATGTGAATGTTCTTAATGTTGTTTTAAATAAAGTAGCCTGAAGTTTTTTACACTATGCAAGCTCTTTTTCTCTTTTTTTCCTTGCTGAATATGATGAAATATATATCCTGGTGATCCTGGAGCTCCCTAATAAGCCAGAGATCTGACGTATTAAGTGATAATCGTCAGGGGAGAACGCTCGGTAGGCTGGTTTATAATTTTACCAGCAACATCTTCTGGTAAAGTTGAGGCTAGTACAATTGGTGGTGGATACACAATTTGGTGATGATCTAAGGTGCTTTAGAATGGATTTACCACAGAGGAAGAAAATCAATATCACTTGATTCCCAGGGCATTTATGAAATATTTGGTGGTGGTGCAGTGACGGAAATAAGTACCGTATTTGCCGGCGTATAAGACGACTGGGCGTATAAGACGACCCCCTACTTTTCCTGCTAAAATGTAGTGTTTGGGCTATAGTCGCCATATAAGACTACCCCTCTTCCAATGCACACCAGTGGGAGGAATAGTGCCCCATCATCGGTGTCAGTGGGAGGAATAGTGCCCCCTCATTGGTATTAGTGGCAGGAATAAGGCCCCATCATTGGCATTAGTGGCAGGAATAGTGCCCCATCATTAGTATCAGTGGGGGGAATAGGTGCCCCATCATTGGTATCAGTGGCAGGAATAGTGCACCATCATTGGTATCAGTGGGAGGAATAGTGCCCCATCATTGGTATCAGTGGCAGGAATAGTGCCCCATCATTAGTATCAGTGGGGGGAATAGTGCCCCATCATTGGTGTCAGTGGGAGGAATAGTGTCCCAACATTGGTGTCAGTGGGAGGAATGGTGTCCCATCATTGGTGTCAGTGGGGGGTGGAATAGTGCCCCATCATTGGTGTCAGTGGGGGGGTGGAATAGTGCCCCATCGTTAGTGTCAGTGGGGGGGGGGGGAATAGTGCCCCATTGTTGGTGTCAGTGGGGGGGAGGAATAGTGCCCCATCGTTGGTGTCAGTGGGAGGAATAGTGCCCCATCATTGGTGTCAGTGGGAGGAATAGTGCTCCACCATTGGTATCAGTGACACCAATGATGGGGCACTATTCCTCCCACTGACACCAATTACACTTGCTGACCCTGTTCTAGTATGGTGCTGCTGCAGCCAGCATATGTGGTTGCAGCAGCACCTCTACACTGAACACTTACCTGCTGCTCCTGCACTCGATTTTCGCGGGGCCGTTTGGCTCTGCCCCCTCGCCGGTGATTGGCCCGCCTCTGTGCCTTTCCTGAGCTACAGTTCTGGCGGCCAATCACCGGTGAGGAGGCGGAGCCGAGCAGCCGCGCGAACATCCAGTGGCCGAACTGAAGGAGCAGCCGCGCTTCCTGGACCGGATCGTCGTGGGACCGGAGCCAGGTAAGAAACAGCCCCTGCCCACCCCTGTACTTAGTGTCCCTTCCGTTGGAAGGGGGGGGGGCGGCGGCGGCACCGCGCCACCCCCCTAAAAAGTGTCAGTATGCCGTATACCGGCGTATAAGACGACCCCCGACTTTTGAGAAGATTTTCAAGGGGTAAAAAGTCGTCTTATTCCCTGCTGAATTTGAATGTTTGCCCACTCACAAAGAAAGGATCAGTCTAAAAATTGAATGGTAGGTGAAGAGTAACACTGAGACAGAATAGCAACAAAAGAAATGCATGTCTAACAAATTATGCACTGATTTGCAGGATCTGGCGATAGAAATTCTGGAAGCCATAAAAATGAATGCGATTAGTCTGTTAGCGTTTCTTCCGCACGTAAGTAAGAACTTCCGCACCTTCCAACACAACCACCAGGTGTGAAAGGCAGAGCCTTCATGACCGCATCCTCTAAAGCACTGAGAGGAGACTCCCGGGACACTCTTAGCTATTCTCATTGGTACCATATACCACCTTAAAAGTACCTTGTAGTTGGCCTCAATGAGAGAGGTATTTATGTAAGATCTAGCCGTGCCTGTTCATTCAGACCCTGTTTCCACTTATCCATATAAAAGAGTTTTGTGGGGCTATTTATCAGCATACATACTATAAAGCTTAGCTTGTATGCGATACCTGTGGAAGAGGTCCGATGTGCTTGTCGAAATGGTTTTCGCACAAGTGCTTAATACAGATCAAACCTTTATTAGCCACAAATTATGTAGGTGAAAGGCTGGGTTTCACAACAATGGAGTCGAAGGAGTATGCAAAGACTTGTGGTTGTAAAACCAATGTTGGTCAAATGCTGAAGACTGCCATCTGTAAATACCTTAGAGTGCTCTGTGTTTGATCGCCTATTGTGAACATTTTTCTGTCACTCCATGTTTGTGATGTAGCCCTCCGAAATTGTCCCTTTCTGTGGGTGTGGCAGCAGTCCAGAGCTTGGAAGGTGTAGCAGTGATGTCGCCGGACTCCCCTCCCTCGCCCACAGGCGCGCACAGCAAGAATGCTAGTGCGTGCATGCCAGCCCAATGTGCACGCACAGCAGTGTTACAGTGCTCGTCCATGTCAAATCTACTTGGCACCTGCACATATGTGAGAACTCCTGGCACTGGTAGCTGTAAAGAGAGAAGACCTGATACCTGTCTCTAATCACAGCATAACTTCTATTGCACACAATGGTGAGGATTGCTAATGAGTGTAACATTTGCTCTGGTAAAAGACTGGGAGTATGGCTGGATGGAATGATCTTGTGTTGGGTGCCTACGCCCCCTGATGAGTCCTATCCAATCAGACACCTGGATCTGCACCACCTGACCTCCTCCCCTTTGACAATGCTGAAGTACGGAGTTGCCAATCCAGGGGCAGCAGGAGGGGGAGGGAGAGGAGGAAGGGTGGGGGAGAGAGATCTGTGCATGTGTGCTCAGGAGACATGGCCACTTCTCTCATGCTAGTCTATAAGTATAATTATGTAGGCTGTCAATCAAAGGAGAGGGAGCATGGCGATACCATTTTATAGCCTGTGACGGCTTTGTTCAATGAGGGATAAAGAGGAAGATAGCAGAAAACTGCCTGGTCCTTTTATAGGCAGATTGGGGGAGGATGCATTGCTCTGCTGTGCAGATTACAGTAATGTGATTAACTAAATTTATATTTTTTGGGTTTACAACCACTTTAACCACTAGCCTACAGGGCACTTATACCCCCTTCCTGCCAAGGCCAATTTCAAGCTTTCGGCACTGTCACACTTTGAATGACAATTGCGCGGTCATGCAACACTGTACCCATATGAAATTTTTATCATTTTTTTGAGACAGATAGAGCTTTCTTTTGGTGGTATTTAATCACCTCTGGGATTTTTATTTTTTCTTAAACAAACCAAAAACCACAGAAATTTTGAAAAAAAAAAGTTTTTTTTTTGTTTTTGTTATACAATTTTGTAAATAAGTGATTTTTCTCCTTCACTGATGTGCGCTAAAGAGGCTGCAGTGATTGGCACTGATAGGCTGCACTGATGGACACTGATAGGTGGCACTGATGGGCACTAATGAGGAGGCACTGGTAGGTTGCACTGATGGGCATTGACAGGTATCACTGATGGGCACTGAAAGGCAGCACTGATACATGACATTGATATATGGCACTGATAGGCAGCACTGACTGGCCCTGATAGCCGGCACTGACTGGCACTGTTAGGCAGCACTGACTGGCACTGTTAGGCAGCACTGACTGGCACTGATTGGCGGCACTGATGCACAATGTAGGGCGACACTGACTGGCACTGATAGGTGGCACTGATTGGCGGCACTGATAGGTGGCACTGATTGGCATTGATAGGTGGCACTGATGGGTGACATTGAAAGGCAGCTCAGATGGGCACTGATATGTGGCATTGATGTGCACTGGTATGCACTGATATGTGGCATTGATGTGGCACTGATGGGCACTGGCACGTGGCACTGATGAGCACTGACTGCTGGCACTGATGGACACTAACAGGTGGCACTTCTGGTCCACACTGATCATCAGTGCCCTGATGATCAGTGCACATGTCCCCTCCGTGGAAAGCCGATTACCGGCTCTCCTCTCTTCTCGAGCTGTCAGCGTGACAGCTTGAGAGGAGAGAAATGCCGATAAGCGGCATTTCCGTGTTTACATGTGATCAGCTGTGATTGGACACAGCTGATAACATGACCGAGTCGACATCTTCAGCTCTTTCCGTGATCCGCTGTGTCCGCTCCCTGAGCTGCGCATGCGCGGTGAGAATGGAAGGACGTCATATGACGTCCTATCAGAACGAGAGAACCACCTTGCGCCCGTCATTGTACTATATGGCGGGCAGAAGGTGGTTAAAGCCATAATGGGTTGCCAGTCTGTCCCTTAAATTAAAGGAAAATGACAATGTGGGGCATAAAATGATTGGCCTATCTTTTGGATGAATCCACATAAGATGGCTTATTGGCTTAGTCAGATATAGAGACTCTTTTCCAATAACCATAAACCAGGCAAATACAGAAAGTGTAGTTAAAATCACACCTTTAATGAAATTGCAAAGAAAAAAACAGTTCAGGAACACAGTCAAAACAGAAGCCAGGGTTTGGATGTCAGAGTGGGTAATCAGACAAGCCAGGGTCAGAAAACCAGAGGTCAGCGTAGTCAGGAGCCAAAAGTCAGGAACAGAAATTGGAAGAGAAGTCAGCCAGACTGAGTTGTACACAGGAACACAGCCAGGAACACACTGGAGATCATAGACCACGCAAGGAGAAAATGAGCTAAGCTGCTGAAATAGCAAAAAGGGCTGGCTTTTGGCTGGACTAATGAGGCAGGTTATGGTATCCAGGTGAGTCACTGTGGAGACAAGTGGTTGGTAATTAACTGACAGCTGAGCAGCTTCTGAGCATTGAAAGAAAAGAGCTGCTCGTTAAGTAGCAGGATCCCAGCCCTGACATTCTTCTATCTTTGTCCATAAGCCCCCAGTCACATCGGGTGCGATTTGGCATGCGATTTGCATGCCAGGTGACTTGCAAATTGTATGCCAAGTCGCACCCTATTGTCCGCTATTAGAGCAGTCATATCAGTGTGGTTCCGACTTCGTCGGAACCACACTGATTTCTAAAGTAATGCCTGCACTACTTTTGTTGCGATTTGCAATCGCAAGCAAATCGGAAGGTCACCCGAGGAGTGTAATGGATGTTTATAATTTGTGTGAAAACGTGACAGCTGGGCCAATTGTGCAGCATCGTAGTATTTCATTAGGGCAGGCATCCCTCAATTTAGGGGTATAAAGTGTACGTCTGTTCATCCTGGGTCTCCTGTCCCCCACACATATAGATGGATGTCATAGGAGAAGAGAGGATCATCAGTCATTTGCGAACAAGGCGCACGCCACAATATATTCATTTCATATGCTGATGTTCTCAAATTTTAATAGCAAGAGGCTCCAAAGCCAGAAGGAATAGGATTGGAGATAAAGGGCAGCCTTGTCGTGTCCCCCTCTCTGTATTTGGATATATTGGGAGCTATATCCCTTGTTGTTTTACACTATTTGATTTATTATTATTTCTCTGTGACCATTAATTGTTTATTATTGCTCTGTGTCATTAAGCTGTCTCCTGTCTAAGCTGAACTCTTTTTCTCACCGTACTTATGTATATCCCTTCCCCCTGCCTCTCTCTTGTAGTCATTCCACTGTATCCTGTCTACCTGACTGCATCTTCCATGAGGCTACAACATTAACATTTTTCTACCTATGAATATTCGCCATTAAACGGAACATTTGATGGGTTTCCTCATCTGACTTCCTCAACATGTGAGTTTATTAGTTGAGTTAAACTATCTGACCCAATGCAAGGGATAAATTCAACACCACATGGTATAGCTGTATACATTGTTGGAGATCACGTTTATGGCTTTGTAGTCTGAGTCAAAATAGTAGAAAAACCAAAGTTACAGCCTAATTACAAGATTCCTGGGTGACAGTACTGATACAGACAAGATTTATTGCTCTCATTGCAAAGCAAGAAAACAGCACTTGTAAGCCTCCATAACTAAGCCCAGGCCATCAGCTTTCCCCCTTGCTTGCTTATCTCTCAGTCATTATTTGCTTGTGTCAACATGAGTTACAAGGGTTGTCTGTGAAGAGATGTCACACACAGCAGAAAAAGTCTCTGATTTAGTTGTGTTACCCAAATGCTCAATTAAACCAACTTGGAAAATGATGGAAAATGATGAAACTTTAACAACTGAACTAATAATAAGCCTGAAGTTATTATGGGAAAAGATTGTTACTCAATCTAACACACTGTTGTACACAAGGTATGGCCACTAGAGGGCACCATCTAACAACTTTATGGCTCATATGAGCTTTATCAGTTTACCAGCAACAAGTTCAGTAATGTTTTACAAAGCATGCACAAGGAAGATTCCTTAGAGGAATTATACAACTTCCAGGTTCTTAATCTAGAAAGAGCGCGTTCTACCCAGCAAACCAAATTAAAGGCAGAAGCAAAGATAAAGCTGCTACAAGACACTGCATCTCACAGATCCGTTTCTACAAGACATTCTAAAAAGTCCTCTAAATCCCATAGTTCAAGATGCTCTCAACTCAGTGAGCGGCTTATTAGTGCCCGCGCTGAAGTGGAAGCCAACAAGGTGCAGACTCCAGATGCAAAAAAGAGAGCAGAGTTAGCAACTCTGAGGGCAGAGCTGAAAATTCAGTTAGCACGCCAAAGAGCAGCAATAGAGATGTTAAACGAACAGTGTAAACATGATACACCTATGGCAAAACTAAGGGTCCTAGAACAAGCTATCAATGCAGACGGAAGTGCAAGTAGAAAGACAGCATTAACCTAAACATAGCGGATATGGAAGATCCCCTCAAACGCACTACAGACTATGTTATAAGCCACTGCAGTGGACACTCTATCGTCTCCAATGCTCCAGACAACATAGGGACTTCTTTTCAGCATCAAGTTAAAGAGGTTCCAAAAACTTCCTGCATGCAAAATCACTCCAACACCTTTCCTGCCTATCTAGATAACCTTCCTTCATACATCACAGAGCATCAGAGCAAGCTGCAAGCAAGTCATCAATTTCCTGTTATCAGTACAGCCTCAAATAAATGTACCATTGGAGCAACTGACTTCAAGCAAGAAACTTGTCTGAATACATCTGCTGCACCATATTTCCCTGTGTCTTATAACAGCAATGTCAACAATCAACACCGTTCAGCCAACATTACATTATTACATTACTTCGAGTTTATATAGCGCCAAAGGGTTTGCTCAGCGCTGTACAATAGAGGGGGGACAATACATGAAACAGTACAGCAACTACAAACAGCACACGAGGGGTTAGAGGGCCCTACACTTTTGAGCTTACAATCTAGGAGGGAGGGGGTAGTGGTACAGGAGGAAGTGGCTGTGGGGGGATGGAGTGGTAGGAGGAATGAAGGAGAACGGCAGTTAGGTGAGGTGGGGTAGGCTTCCCTGAAGAGGTGGGTTTTCAGGGAGCGCCTGAAGGTAAGGAGGGAAGGTGACAGTCTGATGGATTGGGGTAGTGAGTTCCAGAGGATGGGGGAGGCTCTGGAGAAGTCTTGCAGACGTGCGTGGGAGGAGACCAGGGGGCAAGATAGAAGGAGGTCCTGTGAAGAGCGAAGGGTACGGGTGGGGTGATACCTGGGAATCAGGTTGGTGAGGTAGTTAGGGGCAGTGTTGTGAATGGCTTTGTACGTCAGAGTGAGTAGTTTGAATTTGATGCGTTGGGCGATAGGGAGCCAGTGGAGGGATAGGCAGAGGGGGGTGGCAGAGGTGGAGCAGTTGGTGAGGTGGATGAGTCTAGCCGCTGAGTTCAGAATGGTCTGAATTGGGGAGAGCCTGCACTGGGGTAGGCCGGTGAGGGGAGTTGTAGTAGTCGAGGCGTGAGATAATCAGGGAGTGTACGAGTATTTTAGTGGTGTCTGGGTAAGGAAGGTGCGTATTTTGGCGATGTTGCGAAGGTGGAGCCTGCATGTGTTTGTAAGTGATTTGACATGAGGTTGGAAGGAGAGGTTAGAGTCCAGAATGATGCTAAGGACTTTGGCTTGCGGGGCAGGATTGATGGTGGTGTTATTGGTACAGTGATGGATAGGATGGGGGGGGGGGGGGGGCGCGGGCAGTGGGGGGAAGACAAGAAGCTCGGTTTTGGAGAGGTTAAGCTTGAGGAAATGGAGCGACATCCAGTCAGAGATATCGTTTAGGAGGTGAGTGATGCGGGTGGAGAATGTGGGGGGTGAGGTGGGGGGTGGAGAGGTAAATTTGAGTGTCATCAGCGTAGAGGTGGTAGTTGAAGCCATGGGAGTGTGTATAAGTTTGCCAAGGGAGGAGGTGTAGATGGAGAAGAGAAGGGGTCCAAGGACAGAGCCCTGGGGGACCCCAACAGAGAGGGGGAGGGGAAGGGGAGGTGGCACCGTTGTAGGAAACGCTGAAGGAGCGTCGGGATAGGTAAGAGGAGAACCAGGAGAGAGCGGTGTCTCTGATGCCAAGGGAGAGTAGTTTATTAAGGAGGAGGGGGTGGTCAACTGTGTCGAAGGCTGCGGAGAGGTCCAGGAGGAGGAGGACAGAGTAGTCGCCTTTGGCTTTGGTGGTTAGTAGGTCGTTGGTGATTTTGAGGAGGGCGGTTTCGGTGGAGTGTAGGGGCGGAAGCCGGACTGTAGTGGATCAAGTAGGCTGTTGTCAGTTAGGTGGGCGCTTAGGCGGTCGTAGACTAAGCACTCAAGGAGTTTGGAAGTGAGTGGCAGCAGGGGAGATGGGTCTGAGGTTGTTTGGGTCAGTGGGGTCAGGGAGGGCTTTTTGAGTATGGGGGTGATGTGCGC